GCAATCTAGGGGAGATCTTAACATGGCAAATAATTCAAAAGAAAACCATACTTCAGGGACTTTTTAGGACCAACTCTGTGGACTCTAGCTGAGGATAAATAAGTGTGCCTAGAAAAATAAAAAAAGAAATCAGCTTAGTGTTTTCTGCTAGATGAAAATTTTTACTTTCACTTCTTTAGAAGTAAACACATATACATCTTTTATATCTGTGCATGCATATTTTCACAGTCCATACTTTTTATCAGTGGATTCAACTTTTATACATTCAACTAATCAAGGATGAAAAATAGTCTTAAAATGGGTGTCAGTGCCTCACACCTGTAATTCTATCTATGGTTCAAAGCTACACCCCATCCCAGGCAGAAAAGTCCAGTTAACCTCAATCTGTGGTTCAAGTGGTAGAACGCTAGCTAACCTTGTTCACAAAAGGTCAGGGACAGTGCCCAGGCCCTGAGTACAACCTCGGGACTGGAACACGTGAACATATGCAAGTGCACACACACAGACACACAAATTAAAAAAATAACTTTACTGGCTAGGAATGTAGCTCAGTGGTAGAGTGCTCACCTCAAATGCTTCTGAAGCCCTGAGTACTACATAAACAGAAAAAGTTGGAAGTGGCACTGTGGCTCAGTGGTAGAGTCCTTGCCTTGCATGCATGAGGCCCTGGGTTCGATTCCTCAGCACCACATAAGCAGAAAAGGCCTATGTGGTGCTGTGGCTCAAGCACTAGAGCACTAGCCCTGAGCTGAAGAGCTGAGGGACAGTGCCCAGGCCCAGAGTTCAGGCCCCAAGACTGGAATAAAAACAAAACTGTTCTATACCAAACAGGTCTTTTCCTGGCTATTATTTCCTAAACAACACAGGATAACAACTATTTGCATAGCATTTACCTTGTCTCAGGTACAATAACACAGAATGATGTACATAGGTTATATTTAGGGTATATTCTATTATAGACAGAGCTGATCGGAAGAGAAAATCAGGAGTAACACTGATTAAGATGCATTGCACAGGCCAGGCACCGGGGGCTCAAGCACGTAATCCTACCCACTCAGGAAGCTGAGATATGAGAAGTGCACTTCAATGCTAGCCCAGGCAGAAGTCATTGAGACTCTTCTGCAATTAACCAACAAAAAGCCAGAAGTGGAGCTGTAGCTGAAGCGGTATAGTGCCAATCTTGAGAAAAAGCTGAAGAACTCAGGGCCAAGTCCCTGAGTTCAAGTCCCAGTACCAGCACCAGAGAAAAAAAAAGATGAGCTGGGCAACTGTGGCTCACACCTGTAATCCTAGCTACTCAGGAGGCTGAGATCTGAGGATCACGGTTCAAAGCCAGCCAGCCCAGGCAGGAAAGTCTGTGAGACTCTTATCTCCAATAAACCACTAGAAAACCGGAAGTGGTGCTGTAGCTCAAGGGGTAGAGCAATCGTCATTCATAAGCTGAAGAGTGCAAGGACAGTGCCCAGGCCCAGAGTTCAAGCCCCATAACCGATAAAAAAAAAAAAGATACATTGCATACATAAATTGGCATGTTGAAACCCCTCCTTTTTAGCCAGGTACCAGTGGCTCACATCTTTAATTCTAGCTACTCAGGAAGCTGAGATCTGAGGATTTCTGTTCAAAGCCAGCCTGGACAGGAAAATCAGCAAGACTCTCATCAATATCAGGAACAGCGCGCACACGCGCGCGCACACACACACACACACACACACACACACGAAACTCCTCTGACCAACTAAAGACAAATTTTTTAGAGACTTGGACGTCCAAGGATTTTTTATGCCCTCTAAGGCATTTTGTATGTATAGTAAGGTTGGACCAATTCTCTTAAGAAACTAAGAACCCACAGTACACATATTTTTTTTCTTTTTCTTTTTGGTCATGGGGCTTGAACTCTGGGCCTAGGCTGTCCCTCAGCCCTTCAGCTCAAGGCTAGTGCTCTACCACTTGAGCCACAGCCCCATTTCCAGCTTTTTTCTGCTTATGTGGTGCTGAGGAATCAAACCCAGGACCTCGTGCATGCGAGGCAAGCACTCTACCACTGAGCCACCTTCCCAGCCCCCACATATATTTCTATGTAAGATGCAGCTCACTGGGGCTAGGAAGGTGGCTCAGTGTTAGAGTGCTTGCTTTGCATGCCTGAGGCCCTGGGTTCGATTCCCCAGTACCACATAAGCAAAAAGAAAAAAAGCCAGAAGTGGTGCTGTGGTTCAAGTGGTAGAGCGCTAGCCTTGAGCTGAAGAGCTGAGGGACAGCGCCCAAGCCCAGAGTTCAGATCCCACGACTGGACCCAAAAAAAAAAAAAAGATGCAGTTCATTAAAGGCTTTCCATTTTCTAGGAATTTTAGTCTTACTTGCACTTCCAAAAATTTATTTATTTCATTATTTGGTATTTGTACTGGGGCTTGAATTCAGGGCTTCACACTCTTGCTTTTCTGCTCAAGGTTGCTACTCTACCACCAGATCTATGCCTCCAATTCCAGCTTTTTTTCTGATTAACTAGAGTTAAGGGTATCTTGAATTTCTGTCCAAGCTGGCTTTCAATCATGATCCTTAGGTCTCAGCTGCCAGAGTAAGAGTATACGTGCCTAGTTGTTATCCTATTTCCTTGTGCCAATCCTGGTACTTGAGCTCAGGGCCTTGACACTGTCTCTGAGCTTCTTTTGCTTAAGGGCAGTACTCTATCACTTTTGCCATAGATTTACTTCTGGCTTTTTTGGTGCTTAATTGGAGATAAGGGTCTCACGGACCTTTTCCCTGTCTGGGCTGGCTTTGAAGAATAATCCTCAGATCTCAGCATCTTAAGTAGCTAGGATTACAGGTATGAGCCAGCAGGGCACCATCCTCTGACATCCTATTTTTATAAATAAGCAAAGTTAGGCACACAAAGATTAAGACAGCTGCTTAAGTTTATATAGTTACTCAATAAAAAAAAATGGACTAAGCCGGGCACTGGTGGCTCACGCCTGTAATCCTAGCTACTCAGGAGGCTGAGATCTGAGGATCACGGTTCAAAGCTAGCCCGGGCAGGAGAGACTGTGAGACTCCAGAAAACCGGAAGTGGCACTGTAGCTCAAGTGGTAGAGCGCTCGCTTTGAGCTGCAGAGCTGAGGGACAGCGCCCAGGCCCAGAGTTCAAACCCCACGACTGACAAAAAAAAATGGACTGAAACTGAGACTTACTGGTCTTAGCTCCAACTTTACATTCATTAACCCCAAATCCTTGCTACCCATGGAGAAAATGGAGGGTATAACAAAAGGGAACACTCTAAATATGTGGTCCGACCTTACTTCGCAAGCAGCTGACCAGTGAGGCTTGAAGCTAGTGATATCCCAAGGCCAGCTCAAGAAGAGTAGTACATATCTTGTAATCCGGTGAAATCCTGAAAGCCATCCTTCTGCAATCTTATCTCGGAGGTAATTTTGTGTCTAATTCCTCTCTCTTGGAACACACCACTTCCCACCAGAGCAGAACACCAGAACAGGAAGCCATACAAGACCCAAGATCGGAACACAAAGATTAGAGAGCCAACTGCCTGTAATTGTAGCTACTTGGGAGGCTGAGAACAGGCGATCTTGGCGCTGGGCTGGCCTGGGTAGAAAAGTTCTCGGGACTGTTTCTTAAGCTATGGCTGGGCACAGTAGGATGTGCCTGTCAGTCTACACAAACAAGAGAGGCTGCAGTTAGCAGATCGTAGTTCCAAATCAATGTAGGCAGAAGAGTCTAAGAGACGCTGGATATCGTGGCGCACACACCTTGTGATGGAAGCAATGATTGGAAACCAACATTAGGCAGAACACAGCTGATGCATGCACCAGTGTAAATAGTTAAAATAAATAGAAAAAGTGTCCGCGATGTTGATGGTGGTATGGTGCCAGCCTAACCTCAGACCCTGAGTTCAAACTCAGTATCCTCCAAATGAATAAAAAGAAACACTTAAACGTTTCTATTTCCTTTTCATTTCTAAGTCACATTAACAGAACAGTAAAGAAAGTAACCTATTTGGGTTTGCTCCCCCGCTTTAAAATAATAATTTGGGGTCCACAAGTGGCCATCCGCATGTCCACGAATTGTCTATCTCCATGTAAAAAAAGGAGTGGCTTTTGGGTGGAAGAAAGTCTATAGTTCTCCTCAGATTTACAAGGGCTCCATGTGCACACTCTTGCCCACCTGAAAGAAAACGAGGTGAAAATTGTTAACTTTGAGCTCGATCAGCAAGCAAGAGCTGCTCGACTACTTTACCTAGGCTGCGCGCGCACGCAGTCTGTGTCAGCTCCCCTGGCAGGTCAGCCTTCCCAGCCGTTCTCCCCTCCCGCCCCCACGCACGCAGCACCCCACACGTACTGACCCCCCGCGGCGCACGCAACGCACGCACCCCACGCACACGCAATTTAATTTCCTCACGCAGTTCCATGTGGAAACACGGCCACACCTTCGCGATCGTGTCCGCCCCGGCCACCACGTGCACGCCCCCATACTGAGGCACCTGCGGAAAAAGTCCCCGAACCTGCGACTCTCCCTTCCCCCACACTCGCGCCTCCTCGCTACACCGGTCCACACACACATTCATTCCCTCACTGCACGAATCAGCGAGCTTGCACACGACGTTCTGCAGGCATCCTTAGAACCCAATACTGCCTCCCCCTCACCGTCCCCCCTTGCAATGGCTGGCTTTGGCGCCGGCCCGCCCCGCCCTCCAGTTCCAAGGGCAGCGACGTCCCTCCTCGTGACGCCGAGCCTCCCCCCCTCTTTCCCCACTAGCTTCGCGAACTCACGGCAGCTCCGGAAGCTGAGTACACGCTGCCCCGGCCGCCAGTATGATCGCGTCCCAGAAAAATAAATAAATACATAAATAAATAAATACTTAAAGCAAGCGGGTGATAGCACGGCACCTCCCTCACTTGCCTATTATAGCCAACACCTGGCAAGGACTCTTGCAGCTTGACCCTGGGGAACTTCCTCTCTTTATGGTTCCTCCGAATCCGGGAGGCATTTCTCACCTGATTCCCAAAGCCAGAACGCTCTTCACTCGTTGCCGGCAGGAAAGAGATTCCACTAGAGAGCAAAGGTCTATGGGGCGGGGAAGGGGAAATGACTTAGAAAGGAGGCGGCCCAGAGGGAGGGACCGGGAAAAAAAGGGGGGGTCACTGGGGAGTGGGAGGAGAAAAGGGAGGAAAGCTACTCGCGCCCGCCAAAATTTTCATAAAATGTTGCTAATGTAGCTTAAAAAAAAAAATCTCGCCCACTCTACTGCAGTAGCATCAAGCTTTCCTAAACTAGACCCTGTGGGAGAGGCAACTATGATTAAGACCCTTCCCTGCTAAGCTGACTTAATAGGAATCTGCTGGTCTGAGCAGAGGACTCAAGAATTACTGGTGTGCTATGGAAACAGTAAAATTCTTTAATACATTTACTGGACACATTACAAGAATCACCCCAACTCGAGTGCTTAGTCTGGTGTTAGGCATACCTTCAACCACGTAATCCATCTATGACAGCCCTTCTCATTAGAAAGCACCCGATGGTTGATGGTCTGCTGGCTCCACATTGATGTGCGCGTGTACGTGCATTTGTGTGTACATCTCCCTGGGGCTTGAACGCAAGCACTGGGGCGCTATACCTGAAGCTGGTGCTCTACCACTTAAGCCATAGTGCCGCTTGTGGCCTTTTTAGTACTTAGAGATCAGACATTTAAGGACTTTTCTGCCCAGGCAGGCTTCGAACTTACAGCCTCAGATCTCAGGCTCCTGAGAAGCTATGGTTACAGGCATGAGACACAGGCACCTGGGTCAGGAAATAATGTGTCTTAATCACTACTAAACGCTACCACCTGAAACAAAAGGTCTATCAATCTTTTGAATTAATGAACAAATAAATGAATATTTGATAATGTGGACTACTGGATAGACCAAGATCCCCTCTGTGGTATAAGGAATATATTTTGAAGCGTTTGAGAGGTAAAGATTGTCATTGGGAAGGTAGAAGTGACAGGACCCCTTTAGTGGCCGTATTAAGTAATGTGATTGGAAAATGGAATGTCTTTCCCTACACAGACACAGGAAACACCATCTGAAATTTGAAACTGAAACATGTTTAACTAGAGAACTCTTTTTTCCAGCTGTGCTGACATTTGAACTTAAGACCTTGTACTTGCTGGTCTGCACTGTGTACATCTTTTTATAGTTGAGATAAAAGTCTCACTCTTGCAATCACTGGTGAGTGGTCACAGAAGTGAACCCTCCAGGTTCTTAGCATCTCCAACAAAGAACAGAATGAAAACTCAAGCGAAAAGTGTAAACTGACAAAATAAGGAATTTTTTTTTGGTCTGTCGTGGGACTGGGCTCTGTTGTGGCACTCTACCACTTGAGCCACAGCACCACTTCCAATCTTCTGATGGTTTACTGGAGATAACAGCCTCACGGACTTTCCTGGCCAGGCTAGTGTTGAACCACTATCCTCAGATCTGAGTAGCTAGAGTTATAGGCATGAGCCACCAACGCCCAGCCAAAACAAGAAATTTAAGGACTGGGAATGTGCCTTAGTGGTAGAGTGCTTGCCTAGCATGCATGAAGCCCTGGGTTCAATTCCTCAGTACCTCAGAAAAAGCCATTAGTGGTGCTGTAGCTCAAGTGGTAGAATGCTAGCCTTGAGCACAGAGAAGCCAAAGGACAGTGCCCAGGCCCTGAGTTCAAGCCCCAGGGACCAGCAAAAAAAAAAAAAAAAGAACAACAAGGAATAGAAAAAAAGTATTCCATCAAAGGAAATGGGAAGCTCTAGCTAGACAGCTTAAGTGCCAGTTTAAAGGAGGGAGAGAAACATTTCCTGCTCCCTGTACAGAAAATGGGACTTAAGGACTCAAAATGGCAGTTGTTGTCAGGCATCTGTGGCTTACACCTATAACCCTAGCTACCCAAGCTGAGATCTGAGGATCAAGACTTGAAGACAGCCCAGGCAACAAAGTCTCTAAGACACTTATCTCCAATTAACTGCCAAAACCTGGAAGTAAATCTGCGGCTCAAATGGTAGATCACTAGCCTTGAGCAAACTATCTCAGAGACAATTCCCAGGCCCTGAATACCAGTCCCAAGACCAGGACATGCTTGCACATACATGCACATGCATGCATACAAATGACAACTGGCAGGGCATCTGGGGCTCACCCTTCTAATCTTAATTACTCCCAGGAGGCTGAGTTTTAAGGATCTCAGTTCAATGCCAGCTACCAAATGAAAATCCTTGAGATTCTTATCTCCAATTAAGCATCAAAAAGTCAGAGGTTGAACTGTGTGACTCAATCAGTAGAGTGCAGCTTTGAGCTAAAAAGCTCAAGGCCTAGGCTCAGACCTTAAATTCAAGCCCCAGGGTAGCACCAAAACAAAGAAAGCAGTTAACCTGCTACCTTTATTTCTTCTAAACTGTGAGAATATGCTAGTTCCAATCCTATGCAGCTCCCAACCCTAAGGCAATGTTTTTTAGCCTAGGTGGGTATTATTTGCTGTTCTAACATAAAGACGTATCTCTAGGCCTACCTAAAACAAAGGAACAAAAGGTGAGCTTTACCGCTGCTTTTTTCAGATAAAGCTTTTCCTCTTTAGCATCTACACCTTCACAGAAAGTTGCCAGGTTTTTACAATTTCAAGAGAAAGCAGTCACAGGCCTTTTAATTTAGCATGTAAAGAGATTGAAGCTTTTTAGTTGCTTCCTGGTTTCAACTTTTTTTTTTTTTTTGGTCCCGTTGTGGGGCCTGAACTCTAGGCCTGGGCACTGTCCCTCAGCTCTTCAGCTCAAGGCTAGCGCTCTACCACCTGAGCCACAGCACCACTTCTGGTTTTTTCTTTTTGCTTATGTGGTGCTGAGGAATCGAACCCAGGGCCTCTTGCATGCAAGCCAAGCGCTCTACCACTGAGCCACCTTCCCAGCCCCTGGTTTCAACTTTTTGAGTCTGGCCCTTGGTATATTTATTTACAAGAATATAAAGCCCAGTGCCAGTGGCTCATACCTGTAATCCTAGCTACTCAGGAGGCTGAGATCTGAGGATCACAGTTCAAAGCCAGCCTGGGCAGGAAAGCCCATGAGACTCCCAACTCCACTTAACCACCAGAAAACCGGAAGTGGTGCTGTGGCTCAAGTGGTAGAGCAATCGCCTTGAACTGAAGAGCTCAAGGATAGTGCCCAGACCCAGAGTTCAAGCACCACGACCCCCCCCCAAAAAAAGGAAAAAACAAAAAACAATATGGCCAAGCAAAGGTGACTCTTGCTTATTATCCTAGTGTTAGAAGTGGCTTGGGATGTTGGGGTGTTGTATAGAAATAAGGATACCAATTTGAAAGGATGCAAAGCAAAGTTTACTTCTGCAAAACAGTAGACTATCTGGCAAAAATCTGGCAAACAAGCTCCCTTCTTACCCATAACCAGCAGGCCCTACCCTCTGCTCACATTGGCTGAGCCAGGCTCACAATCTGCAAAAGGATGTGTTTTAATTAACCGGATGCAACTAAAATTTAAGGAGCTTCTAACAGGATATTTTAATTGAAGTGTAGCAGGAAAAGGATGTAATTAAAATATAATTAACAAAGGCCAATCAATATTAGATTATTTGGACTTTGCCAGAAAACCAAGCAGACATCCAGGTACAGAGAACAAAGAAAGGTTTATTGTCAGGAAAGGGGCTGGCAAGACCCCTTCTCACAAAGGGGAAGTGAGAAGAAGCACTGGCTATTGTCTGAGGAGACCTATATAACCTAGAAGGTTTAGAAGGGGCTAGCAGGTGGAGATTCTGGTGTGGACATGAGTGCCAGGGGCTTCATCAACATGGTCTAGGATTTATGGCTGCTGTCCAAATAGTAGATAAGGGGCCCTGCAGCAGCCCAGACCTAAAGGTAACTCTAAGGGGCTCTTGTTACCTTATGTGGTGGTCGTAAGCATTATACCCACCTTTGGTCCTCAGCTCCACCCAAAAACCTGAGCCCCTCCCATTCCTGGAGTTCCCTCCATACAGTTGTCCTCTCCTTTCCGCCCAGACCCACTTGAACTCCCATCTACCTTGCTTCCCCAGACCTACCTGCTACCTCGATGGTGACGGAGGCTACTTGCTCCCTCTTGGCTCCTCTGATAAATCTTATAATAATCTTTCTCCTGTGCCTGCCTGCCTCTGCGTGGTCCCCTGGCATGGATGTGTAGGATCCTTCATTAGGTCCTTCAGTGGTAGCTGCCCCAGAGAAGTGCCATCTGGAATTATTTACTGTCTTTACTAAATGTGCCTAGTGTTGCCTAGGAAGGGAGCACGCTAAGCTGTGGAGAGGGGAAGGAGCATGCTAAGCTATTGGAAGGGAGCTCAATTTGCTAACAGCCAAGCCACCTTGCCAAAGTAGGAACTTCAGAAAAACAATGCTCATAATAAAGAACGCAAATTACTTTGATAGAAAAAAAAACACACTTTTCTTCCACTCAGAAGGCTGAGATCTGAGAATGGTAGTTAGTAGGTATTAGTTCTGGCAGGAAAGCCCATGAAACTTTTTTCTTCTTCTTTGTAATGTTAATATTGTCAGTCCTGAGACTTGAACTGAGAGTCTGGGTGCTTGCTGTTCCTGAGCTCTTTTGCTCAAGGCTAGCACTCATCACTTTGAGTCACAGCTCCACTTCCAGTTTCCGGGTGGTTAACTGGAGTTAAGAGCTTCAGGGAATTTCCTGCCTGGTCTGGCTTTGAACTGCTATCCTTAGATCTCAGCCTCTGGAGTACCTAAGATTACTGGCATCAGCCACCAACACCCAGGCCATATTATTCAGTCAAAAAGTGATGCATCCTCTTTTTACCTTGTCAATCAGACAGACCTTGGATTTGGCTTTGCCTTGTGTGTTTGACAACCACTTGCTTGAATTTTACATTTCTAGTCTGCCCAGCACCTTTCCTTATGATGGGACAAATAGATGCCCTGAGTAACTATACATCAAAGGGAAAATCAGTCGAACTTGCATTTTCTGGGACTTTTAGCTAGCTGAAGAAGTAGCAGAATTTTTGTCTATTGAAGGCCAACCCCACATAGAGTTTGTATTTATATTCC